AAGTGGTTTTCTAGCTTGGATTTGGCTAGTGGCTATTGGCAAGTAGCCATGGCTGAGGAAGATAAGAAAAAGACAGCCCTTATTACCAAATTTGGCATGTACGAGTTTAACGTAATGCCGTTTGGCCTCTGTAATACGCCCGCCACATTCCAACGGTTGATGGATACTGTGCTTCGGGAATTTATTAATAAATTCATAGTTGTATATTTGGATGATATAACTATTTACTCCAACACTTTCGAAGAAAACCTCCAATACCTACAGCAAGTATTTGCTAAGTTAAAGGCAGCTAAATTAATACTAAATTTGGATAAGTGCTTTTTCTTTTTACCTAACCTTAAGTTCTTAGGCCACATCGTGAGACGAGACGGATTAAGGCCAGATGAGGATAAGATTATTAAAATCAAAAATTATCCTATCCCAGTCACCTTGCGCCAGATTAGAGGATTCCTAGGACTTGCTTCTTATTATAGGAAGTTCATAAATGGGTTCTCTAAAATTGCTAAGCCATTGAACCAACTGTTGAAGAAGGATGAACTGTATGTTTGGGCTGAGGAGCAACAATGTGCTTTCGATGCCCTGAAAAACCATCTTATATCAGTGCCAATTTTACAGCAGCCTGATTTTGAAAGACCATTTTATATTCATACGGACGCTTCTAACTCTGGGTTAGGTGCTGTGTTGGCCCAATTTGATGATCATAAAAGAGAATATGTTATATCATATGCCAGCTGTAGTCTGAGTAAGGCTGAAAAAAATTATTCAGCCACAGAGTTAGAATGTTTGGCAGTCATATGGGCTGTTGAATACTTCTACCACTATATTGGAAGTAAACATTTTTACTTTATAACAGACCATACTGCCCTTAAATAGTTGTGAACCAGTGAATTAAAAGGCATATGTGCTCATTGGATTCTTAGATTGGAACCTTACACTTTCACCGTAATTCATCGTCCCGGAAGAGTGCATCGGAATGCAGATGCATTGTCCCGAATCTATGATAAAAGTTCATTGGAAAAAGAAGAAACATTGCAAAGTGATTTTGCAAAAGATCTGATAGATCTTTCTTTTGATAATGACCTCATCGAAGTCTTCGCATTGGCAATTGAGGATACATTAGAGCTAATACTGGCCAATAGCAATGTTGTCCAAATTGTAAGGGATACCTTACAATATTGCTCTACTACAGATGTCAGGCCATATGATAACGTCCAGTTCACGCAGAAAGGAATCTTCTGCGATGGAATAATGTGTTCATGGTATTTAATTGAGCACATTGTATCTAGGTTAAATAGAAAAGACAAAAGAAGAGGTTATTTATGAGATTACAAAGGCCCCAATGTACAATGTTAGTGTGATGAAAACCAATACTCCCCAGTGATGAATGTATTATCTGTTACCTTGACTTAAAATTGTGGGCAACCGTAAGATCTTACCCTGTGGAAGAAGTAGCCAAGAGTTATTGGTCTACGCTTGACGAAGACGATGAATTTGATGAAGAATTCAATTCTCACCTCTATGGTTCAGATAATGTGAGTCTTGTTGATGATACACCATTAGAAACTTGGAATGAATGGATTGAACCGGGAACATATCTCTTAAGTGACTACGATCCAGATGAAGACGTTAAATTAGTTTTCCCAAAAATAGAACCTGACAATACTGGAAATAAAAATAACATAGAGTTAGCCACAATACCTTGGTGGTTGCCAAATCTTGAAATACTGTCCTTGTTCTACTTGTTAGAGTTTAATAATTTTTACAGCCACTATCTCTGTAATTCTGTGTGGTGGATGATCACCAACCCAACTACCTATATTATTTAATTTTTTTTGATATAAAAATATAATTTTTTTTATTTAATACCTTTTATTATTTTATTTCACTTACAACAAATTGCAAATACATCTCTTTTTTTTTTCTTTACAATGGAACCAACAAAATACAATCAACTCAAACTTTATCTAGAAACTGCACAATATCCACAAGATATAACACCACGTACCCAAAGAAGAATCACAGCACAAAGCAAAAATTTTCTTGTTCTAAATGGACAATTATACTATAGAGGGGTTAAGAATGACAAGCTATTAAGGGTCATTCAAACCCATGAAACAGAACCTCTTTTATATCTACTTCACAATCACCCTACCGGAGCTCACCTAGGAACGGATAAGTGATGGAAAAGATAAAAACCAAGTATTATTGGCCTCAAAGACACGACCATGTGAAAAACTATATAAAGACATGTGATGCATGCCAAAAATGGAAAAAACATTGTATACCTGGACCTTTATAGCCGATATCTGTAGAAATACCTTTTTTCAGAATTGGGTAAACTATGTAGGTCTCTTACCAATTATATCAAAAGGGAATAAATATATTATTGTGGCTACAGATTATTTGACTAAATGGCCAGAGGCGTGACCTGTGCCTATAGTGGATTCCCAAAGCACCATCAACTTTCTATATGATGAAATTATCTGCCAGCACGGATGCCCTACATATATATTGACGGATAGAGAAAAGCACTTTGATAATATACTGTATTAGTACAAGGTTTGATGGAGAAATTTAAAATTAAACATGAGTTGTCAACGCCTTACCATCCGCAAATGAATGGCCTCGTTGAATGATTCAACCGAACCTTATGTGAATCGTTGGCCAAGTTAATTGATGAAGAAGATCGATGAGATATGTTAATACCCTCTATATTATTTGCATATCATACCACCAAGCAATCTACGACAAAATTCACTCTGTTTTTGTTGACTTATGGTCGGGAGGCCCATTTACCGATTTTTCATCAGGAGATCTTGGAAGAAAATATTTTAACCCGACTTTATACTATCATGGAAGAATTACCTTCAATTCGAGAAAAGGCTAAACAGAATGTAGCTAAATCCCAAAATCAGAAAAAATTTTATTGAAACAAAAGACACAAGAAAGTCAGAAGAATATTCCAGGAAAACGATTCGGAATTACTGTATGACATGACTGTCAGTAAGAGTTTTTTTGAAAAATTGCTACCAAAATGGAAGGGGCCATATCTTATACATTCCAGGGTTGCACAAGACGTATATAAGCTAAAAACCTATGATGGGCAAATATTGAATATGCCTATTAATGTATTGTTGTTAAAACGATACTACAATCAGGATAATGCCCCCTCTTAAATAATATATACTTGTGGAACTCGTAAATAAGAAGGGAGGAGTGTTGGACCCAAAATAGTTCCACCATTTCAGGGTATACAGATATCCATGTCTGCGAGATTATGTGATGCACGTGATCGTTAAAACGCACAGTTCGGGCAAACTCTTACCCAAACTCATAACTGTGCAACATATTTTATTTTTATTTTTGTAATACATATCTTACCCATTTTATAATTTCATACATAGCCTGCATATTACCATATATAGTTAACCTTGTAAATATAGGAATGAACGCGTGATGAAATATTGCTCGATCAGAACGACGAATTAAACCCCTTGGTGATAAAGGCCTTGGGAGCACTATTTGATGACTAAGTAAGAATTACCACTTAGCATCAAAATCCCCTATTACACTTCAGGGAAACACCCTCCCGAATTCATTAGGTAATGGATGAACAAAAAGCGTTTAAATGTTATAAAAAATGCTGGCGCCCTTTGAACGCGATCACTGGTGCTAAAGCCAAATTGGTCAAACCAACAACCAAGCCAAGAAAAAGGGAGGAAAGTTGAATTAGTGGTTAAAGGAGAGAAAACACAATTAGACAACGGGTAGAAGAAAATCCGATGAATAGAGTAGTTTAAATAATTTATGCAAAATGAAAATGTATTTAAAGACTTATCTTTTTGCTTGAATAAAACATCGTTCAATTCCTGACTTAATAATAAAATCTAATACCTGTGTCTTCATACACAAGTTCCCTTTTATTTACCTTGTTAAGAATCTCAACGATCGCAACCACGTGATTGACGTGAAGAGATTTCATGATCACATATTATTGTTGTTAAACTTACCCAAACGACTTCTTGTATCTTCATATACATTTAGCCGTTGCCTCTTTCGAAACCCAAATCACATTAAAGCCTCTTAGTAGTCACAGCTTAAGATAAAGCACGTGAGGCATTTATAAGTTATCACTAGTTTTGTTATTGATTTTAAGGTTGAACGTCAAGCGTTCATTTATTATCAATCCCCGGTTACATTGAACCGATTAAGAGGTGGTTTGAGTGTAACAGTACTTTATGTATCAATTTACTTGATTGTAGTGTTATTCATACATGATATTGTAACCAGCGTTGGAAATTAGTGTTCTCAGAGTTCTCATAAGAACACTATTGTAAATTTGTGCGCAGCATAAATTTTTTACTGTTCACTATTAAAATATTTTTTGTGAACAGTAAAATAATTATAACGTTCACATATCTATTTATATAAAATAGCTATATAACTTTGTTACCAAGACGAATATACTGTAATTAGTCATAATTACAAGATTGAGATTTAAAATTTATCATTATGAGCATTTAAGTGTCATTTGACATCCATTCATATAACATTTGGAGTTTCACAATGAATGATTTGGTATCTAAAATTCATTTTTAATTGAGTGATCTTTGAACCTTACGATTTTTTTTAAAATTTAATATTATATATATATGCTCGTATTTAATTTTCAGACTTCTGTAATGTAGTTTTTTTTTTTTTTATGTATATGAACATAGTTTATTATTTGAAAACAGCTATAAGTATTATCCTGTTCTCATGACAACAGTATTTGGATCTGAAATTTCCAACACTGATTGTAGAGACAGCTAAAGTCCTCAGTCTCGTGATTTTAAACCAATAACAACACAGGATCAGGCATAATTTTGAAAACAAAATAAACTTTCAAAATTTCTCATATAAAACCACTTGCGTCTTAACAAAAAAAAAATTCCTTGCGAGATTTGCTATATGCAGTGTCCTTTCTAAAGCCGTCCTAATGAATATCCTTAGTTACTATTAGGACTGATGGTCCTCTCGATCTGTCCTAAAGAGGCCCGATCCTTGGATGGCCAAAGGACCGTCGATCCGAACAGGATCGATTAACAGACCTAGAACTTTTTCAAACATTATAATCGATAGATACGCAAATAATGATTTCTCAAACATTATGTACGGCCGATCGTCGGGGTATTCGACGTACTACTTATTATCTATAGTCACAGTAAAAATAGCTAGTAATTAGGGTAGCTGCACGACGCAGTTGCGCTAGAACCAGGAATGTTATACGTATGTATGTATGTATTTATTAATAAAGCTTTTTTCTAGAATTTAATTCTGCAAAAAAATTTCTCTCTTGTTATAAAATCGTCGTGTCCTGTACATTTTTACAAATTATTTTAAAATTAGGTATGCATTCTTAAATAACGTTGCACACGTGTTTCTCATATTTAAATGATCCAGTCTGATATACCGCTGTTTAATTTTATTTGATGGAATGCAGATTATATTTGCGAATTAGGCGTTATTAGAATATGCTCCGGAAATAGCAAATAATATTGCGTCGGGAGATCGCCGTAAGCAGTTGAGTTTGTGCGTGAAAATTTGTTATTTTATTATTATTATTTTCATCTTTTTCTTTTCTTTATTTAGTTAGTATTAAAATTATGTGTCGTTATTTTATATTTTCTTATTTTGGGAAGGGATCGTTGTTATACGGTTGAAGGATTAAATCCCCCAAACGACTGATTTGATCCACAATCGAATGATTAAATCCCCAAACGACTGATTGATCCACAATCAACTGATTAAATCCCCAAACGACTGATTTGATCCACAAACGACTGATTAAAACCTCAAACGAAAGTAATAAGAATCAAAAGATATAAATAGACGGGTTTCAGCATATAGGAAAATTAGTTATCGCTCATAGTAGTTTACATGTCTCAGTTGTATTTTTGTTTGGGCATAATTCAAATGTATTAAATTTATTTGAGAAACTATAATAAAAGAGAAACCCTTAACCCTTAATTTCTAAGTCAATATATAAGCTCAAATTAAACTATTAAACTTACAACCCTATTACGTTTAGAATCATCAACCACGTGATATACGTAAAATTACATACAGTACAATCTATACCTATTTTGTTCACGATCGAAGCTAAACCGGACCCATTATTCCAAGGCTCTCCCACTTGACCGTAACAGCGGCTTAGCGTTGACCGGTGGTTTCACGCCTGCGTAACGCAGGCCGGTCGTTAACATGAACATGTGATATTGATATTCATTAGTTATAATTATGAAAACCGAAACGGGATATGCCCCCGTAAATAGCAATAATATTGCACCAGAAGATAAATGTAAGCAGTTGTTTGTGTAGCTTAGCGCCGGCCAGTGGTTTCCCGCCTTCATAACGTAGTGAGGAATTGTGGGCTGTCGCAGTTAAGTGGCATGAGGCCAATTGCATTTTCTATGGCATTCTCATTGCCGCCCTTATTAAGTTAGTGATTACTGCTTGTGGAAAGTCATTTAGATCATATTCACCTCCTTTGATAATCCAGGATTTGACTTATTCTGGTTGATGGTTTCACAAGGCACATCAATAGCAATTAATATTACGTTATTGCGTTGGCACTGGCTAGTGGTTCTCGTGCATAACGTAAGACGGCCGTCAGCATGAACATGTGATAATGACATCCAGCAGAGCATAGCGGGCTTTATTATGATTGGCTGATTTTGAAGATCATCTTATCATAAGAAAGTCTTATTAAAGTAACGATT